TGCCCCGATTTAAAGAGCATGGGCTGGGCTGTTTGTTTTCCAGCAAGGTTGGCCACTCCTGCTCCAGGCTGTCCCGTGGGTGAAACCCCGAGGTGTTCCCTGTGCAGGCACTAATGGGGCAGAAGATGAGCCCCAGGAGAACCTCCCTGTCCCACTTCCCCACATCAAAGCACAGCTGGAGCTGCTGCCCCGCTGCGAGAGACCTGAAGATCCAGTTGCTGGGTGTTGTTGTGCAGTTCTGTGGTGCTCAGGGCAGACATTGCAGCTGCTCCACAGAGCTCGGGGTGTCTTGCACCACCCAGGCTTGGGATCAGCCCTGACCAGCCCCACAAACGGGAGTGTTTGGCTGGTTCTTTCTGATGTGTTTCCCCTCGAGTTGCCCCGGTCGTTGCTGCAGAAACGGAGCTCTGGGAGCTGGGACATGTCCTGGGATACAGAGGCAGGACCAGTGTCAGCAAAGCAAATAAACTGGGGGGTGTCAAAATAAAAGCTGACTATTTTCTAGACTTTGCATCATCACACAGGGATTCCCCCTGTATGTTCTTGTGGGGTCCCAGAAGAGCCCCTGAATCCAGGGGAGGGGGGATTTGAAAGAAACCCACCAGTAACTCCAACCCAGGCAGGGATGTGGAGAGGACTGGGTGTGCAGGTCAGGGGTAGCCTGGCCTTCCCAGCTTGGGCTTGTTTCTTCCCTGGCCAAACCCCTCCTCTTTGCTGGGAATTGAGGAGAAGCTCTCTGATTTATGTCCAGTGTGCTGGAGCCAGTGGCTGCTCCCAGGACCCCGTGACTCCTGTGCCCTGTGCTCGTGGGGGAGTCTCATCCCTGGGGACGTGGCCCCGTAGCAGGACAGCTGGGATGCTGTTGGCAGGCAGGAAGCTGAAATAAAAGGCCTGAGTCCAACCTCCTGTGACACCCCATTTAAGACTCTTTAAAAGAGACTTGGAGGTTTTTCTGCCGGTGTGGTGGCCACCTGCTCCTCTGCTTGGGTTTTTCCTTTGGGGAGGATCCAAGGTGGGGCCTCTGGAGGTCACTGGGTGTTCCAGTGTTCACATCTGGTACCGAAGCCTTTCACCCATCACCCCGCTGAGCTGGAGCAGGGTGGCAACGTGGTGACATACCCGGGGCACATACCTGAAGTTCTCGCGTGCTGAGAGCTGCTGAACCATGCTGGTACCTTGTCCCTGTGCCCACACTGGACCAGCTGGCAGAGGGGTGCTGGAGGGGGCACGGGGATGTGCCCTTTGCTGGCAAACACCCAGCTCAACACTGCAAAGCACGGGGTGTTTCTGCTCCCCACCCAACTGCCTCAGGGAAATCTGCCCAGGCCAAAAGCACCTGAACTTTCTCACCATGGCCACGTGGCCTCTCCTGAAATTCCAAAATTGCAGGTAAGAGACTGCCCAAGGGGGGGTCTGGCCCTGCTCTTAGAGGGTTTGGCCGCAGGGCAGGGAGCTGCTGCCTGCACAAGAAATCAGAGCTGCCAGTGTTCTCAACAACTTCCCTCTCTCCTGGGTTTATCATCTCGAGGGTCACAGCCCCCAGATTCCTGACAAGCTCTCTGCAACAACATAGCTCAAATTCCTGATCCTGCTGATAGGACAGGGCAGTTCCTGGCTGAGGGAGATCCCACTTTGCTCTTGTCCAGGATGGGGGTTCCTGTGCCTACCCCCTCCTCTGGGCTCACCCCACTCTGCATCCCAGGCTTCTCCTGGGCTCCCATTCCTGTGTGGCCCCAGCTGGGCAAACCCTCACTTGCTTTATTTGACCTTCTGGAGCCAAGAAACCTCTGGGCAAGTGGCTCCTTGTCCACCAGGAGAGCGGGGAGCAAACCTCTTGGGCACCAAGCACCCAGGGGCTCTTCAGATGTGTCCCGTGGGAGGGGTGGCCTGGCAAGGCTCCCGTGAGGCTCCCTTGCCACTTGTCTCCAGGGCGTGCCAGAGGATGCCGGAAAAGCCTCGGGGCACTTTAAAGACCAGGTGAACCGAAGGCAAGGGGAGGCACATTCCTGCCAAGCTGTGTTGGCAAAGACCTCAAATGGGGCTGCTCCATGGGGCATCCAGCTGCTCCAGCAGGATGGGGCTGACTCAGCCTCCTGGGAGCCACCGGTGCTCTGGGGAGAGGGACATTCCCCTCGGGGACACATTCCGGGTCCCACGGGGGTGCAGCTGGAGGCAGCAGCAGCAGGGCAGGGTCCCGCTGCATGGGGACCCTGCTGCCATTCTGCTGGTTGGGGAAGGTCCCATCAGAGCATCCCGGCCCCGCCAGGGCGGTGGCTGCAAGTTCCTGTGGTTGGAGATACCAGGGAGCTGTTGCAAAACTCTTACTACAGCAAAATCATTTCAGGGGTTGAGTCATCTGTGGTTCTTAGCAACTGGTGCTGGTGGCCCCACAGCTGGGGGCCGGTGCAAGGCCAGTGTCCATCCCTGTCACCCCGGTCGTGCTGCTGGGTCTGCAGTGCCCAGACCACCCTGGTGGGGGTCAGGGCATCACCTGGCAGGAGCTGCTCGTCTTGCACGTGGAGGAATCCGGCCCCATCGATGTCCTTTGTTGTTCAACCCGAGCGTGTGTGTGCATGTGCACAGACAAGAACCTCTCCAGGAGCTGTTTGCCAGACTCACCCAGTTACTGGGAACTGAACCAACCACCCTTCCCCTCCCCACACACACTCAGCTCCACAGACGAGCCCTGGGTGTGCAGGAGGGCTGTGGCTGGGAAGGAGCTTCCCTACTCCGAGAGCTGCCTGGATCTGGAAACCTTCCTGCGGCTCCTTCCCTGCGGGACAGGTACCCCCAGGGGCACAGGGTGCTGGGGGGCTGCTGGGGACCTCCGGCCGTGGGGGACAGACCCCGCGGTGCAACGGGGCACAGTGGGAGCTGTGTTTGGTGTGATGGGGTGCAGGTGGGAGTTGGGTTATGGCTGGGACTGTTGGGCCTGCAGGGGTCAAAAGTGGGGACCTCAACATCACACAGTGCCACGACGGGACCCCCCAGCCTGTGCCAGGGCCCCTGTCCCTGGGGGCTGACACAGGGGGATGGCACAGCCTTACTCCTCTGTCCCACCACCCTCCTCGTGGACTGAGCCCCCCAGGGACAGTGGCTCTGCTGTGTTTGCACCCCACAGAGGTGGGAGCCGGGCGCTTTCGGGTCCAACGCCCTGTGCCCACGCGGGGCAGGACGCGGCGGTGACACAGCAGGCTGGCATTCCGGGGGCTGGCTGGCGAGGGTGCTGAGCTCTGCGGGAGCACACGGGCTCTGCCGGCAGAGCTGAGCACACCTGAGCGCTGCCCCTGCCCTGCCTGGCACCCAGCCAGCACCGGGGGGAGCTGCGAGGCTCCCAGGGCACAGGGACTGGCACGGGGCTCAGCACGGAGCTTGGCATGGGGGTCACATCCCCTTCCCACCCTGCTGCGGGTCCGTGGTTGGAGCTGGCACTGGGCTGAGCTGGGCAGGTGGGTGCTGGCAGGGCACTGGGGG